ATTGTCTCCAAGGCTGCGCTCCAATGGTGAATGACCTCTCATTCCTCTCATTTCCTTTCTTTCTTGTTCTTTCTCTTAATCGGTTTTATCGTCGTCGTCGTTCTTTTTCTTTCTGATATTCGGTTTTATCGTCGTCGTCGTCGTCGTTATTTTAATCGTCATCGTCATCATCGGCGTCGCCATCATCATCATCATCGTCATCATCATCATCATCATCATCACCATCATCATCATCATTCATCATCATCATCGTCATCATCATCATCATCATCATCATCATCTATCATCGTCTCATCATCATCATCGTCATCATCATCATCGCATCATCATCGATCATCATCATCATCATCATCATCATCATCATCATCATCATCATCCTCAATCACTTGCATCATGAATCGTCCTCACACTCACCACCACATTCACCATAACTACCTCAACAGCCATCATTCACAACGTTCCTCTAAGTGGAAGTGTGGTTGCACTGGTCTCCTTGTTATCCGCTAGCTCGTTAGGTTGTTATCCGCTACTTACCAGCCCCCATATAAGCCACCCGCCCATCGGAGTTGGCAATTGCAATAGTGTCCAGAGTATTGCAATAAACGATCCTTTTCATTACTCTTCTTCTTCCACACTTTCCCCTCACCTTTTTCATTTTCTTCCCTTCCTCTCCCTTCCCATCTCTATTTCTCTCTTGCTTCATTTCCCTCTCCTTTCCTTCTCCCTCACCCTTAGCCTCATCCTCTCCCGCTTCGTTTCCCTCCCTTTCCCAATTCCCCATTATCTTTCCCCTTCCTCTTCCACGTGCATTATTAGTCAATGACACATATTTTGTCGGAGAGTCTTCCTGTGATGGTCGCGAGCAGGTGTTTGTGGCTACTTCTGAATACTTTAAGATGCTGGGTCGTTTCAAGCGGTTATTATTATTGTCGGGGGGGGGGGGGTATGTTGAGGTATTTTTTTAAGGGGGAGCTTGTTTTTTTGTTTTTTATTTTTTTTTCTTTTCGACTTTTGCTTTTACTTTCTTATTATTATTATTATTATTATTATTATTATTATTGATTATTATTATTATTATTACTGTTATTGTTGTTGTTGTTATCATTGCTAAAATAATATTGATGATAGTAATGATTATTATTATTATCATCATATGATTATTGATAATTATTATTATTATTATTATTATTATCATTATCGTTATTATCTCCCCCTTTCCCCTCTCTCCTCTAGCTCCCTCCAGTCCATCCTTCCTAACAGTGGCTCTCCTCTCTCCGAATATTCAGCCCATGCAGTCTTGTTGATCCTTCAGATAATTCGTTATACAAACTCAACATTTTCCCTTACATGCCCAATAAGGAGAGAGAAAATAGCAGGATGGAATAAGAGAAGAAGAAGAAAAAAAAAAGAATAGAAAAGAGAGCGTAGCCAATTTACGTAATCTCCCTTCAAGTAGCCAGCTAATTTATCTCACGTTTATACATTTTTTACCCGTCGCGGAGCAAAGTGCCAAAAGGGGTGCGCTTGTCTCCCTTGCGTCTGGGACCCCACCAGCCCTCCCTTTGCCGTTCAGGATAGGGAGGTGGCTACCTACGTCAGACAGGAGAGGCAAGGACGCAAGGGGGCAAGGGATACATGCCCCCTCTGGAATTTAATTCTTTTTTAAGAAATGGAAATGCACTTAATAGTCGATTGTACATGAGGGTTTTACTGATGCATATATATTGTTTAATTTATATATATATATATATATATATATATATATATATATATATATATATATATATATATATATATATATATATATATATATATATGAACACACCACACACACACACAACACACACACCACCACCACACGCACACGCACACGCACATACTCATAAACACATACATATGTACATGTACAGTATATGTATGTCGGTTTATATGTATGCATGTGCATCATATATGCTTATATATACACAACCAGAGACAGAGAGACAGAGAGAGAAAGAGAAAGAGAACATAGATTGGGAATCTGAGAGGGAGATGTAGAGGGATTTGTCTCCCTTTAGTAATACGATAATCATTGTAGATATTATAACCACAACGAGGGTCATTTAAATCAGTGCTCAAACCCCGCCATCCGTAATCATCAATTTTTTTTATATTCCTATTGCTTTTTTCACTCTCTCCTCTGCTCCTTCTCCCCATCCGTGTGAGAAATCGTAAGAAATCGTCTAGTTTTACTGTCCATTGTCCTGCCCTTAAACCACCTAGTGTAAGATGTCCGTCCTGTGTCTGGTTTTGTATTGGGAGTAAGGGTCATTGCGAGGGTGAGGGGTGGGGTGGGGGGTGAGGGGGGGAGGGTGATGTGTCTGGGTCTCGGTGTATATTCCTTTTGGTGGATGTTTTGTCTGGGATCGGTTATGAGTACATTTTTTTTTTTTTTTTTATGCGAGTTTTCCACTGTTTTGTTTTTATTTATGTGTGTCTTTAATGTTTTCGTTCGCTTTAT